CTGGTCCTCTGATGCTGCTTGGCCTGCTGTGTTCATCCAGCTCTACACCTTGTTATCTCAGATTCTCCAGCATCTGCAGTTCCTACTATCTCTGGACTGAAGAGTCTGTTTCCGTGCTGTACAACTCTATGACTATGACTCTATTAACAGGTAAAAGCTTAAGGGCAGGAAATACAGGAGGTACATCTGTAAGTATTTCATGGTAAAAATATAACCGTCCTTTTACAGGGGAGCAATTGCTAACATTTCAGAAGGGAGCCCAATTGAATAGCTTTCAATGCATTGACACAAACGTGATGAGCTGAATGGCTTCCAAACTTCACAAATTAAAATATGTTTGCTGTTTGAATGGAGCACAGTTCTAAGATGGTGTCAACGCTGGTGACAGGGTCTAGTTTCCCCCACTTCCTACTCTTCAAAGGATATCATTTTCCTCAGTATGTGCACTTTACCCCACAACGAACCCCCACCCATCCATCATACCTCAAACTCCACCATGGCTTTCTTCATACTCTCTACATCAAAGATGGTCTTGATGAGGTCCTGCACTGCCTTGTCCAGTTTGGATTTGGTACTGCAATTCGCGGTAAGTTTCTTCACAGCTTCCTCATCCTGTGGGATTGAGAAACATCGATATTCCACTGCAGTTCAGAAGAACAAAGGGTTTGGTAGGCAGGGGCAAGGGGTGGCTGGGGGGGAAGGAAGGAGGAGAGCGGGTTTGGAAATTCTTGTATAGGCCTATAAAATTCTAATAGGTCTAGACTGCGTAAGAATTTCCCGATAAAGGGCGGGTCCAGAATCAGAGATCACCGTCTAAGGATGTAGGGTTGGCCACTGAGGACAGAGATACGAAGTAACGTCTTTAGCCAGAACCTGTGGACTCTTACCACAGAGAGTGCTTGAGGCCAAAACATTTGAATGTTTCAAGAGGGCTTTGGTACAATTCTTGGGCTAAAGAGATTGACGAACGTGGGGTGAAAACTGGGTGGGGGGAAAACAGGGTCCTGAATTTAATGATCAGCCATGATGCAGCAGGCTTGAAGGGCTGAATGGTCAACTTGTGTTCCTACTTCCTCGGTTCCTGAGGGTGATTATCAGTAGATTCGAATGCTAGCGGCATGCGCAGGGAGGGCCTGAATTCAGGAGACCCTTTAACAAAAGCAGTGTGCCGTACAGAGATAGCAGGGACTAGAGGAGCTGGAGTTAGAGTCAATACAGCGTGGAGCTGGAGGAACACAGGCCAGGCAGGAGAGTCAACGTTTCCGATCAGGACCCTCAAAATGTCCTGATGAAGGATCCCGACCCGAAACGTCGATTCTCCTGCTCCTCTGATGCTTCCTGACCTGCTGTGTTCCTCCAGCTCCACACTGTATTTACAGTGTGCAATATACTTTGGACTCTATTGAGGGTAGTACGGAACATGACAAAAACAAGGCCTTAACTGGGCTCGGTCCTCACTCACAGTTAACTGGTCAGATCTATCTAAGGCACTATAGGACCTCCTGAGCACTTTGCCTTCAGTCCACAATTTCTGCAGGTGACTTTGTCTGGTGGACTTGTTGGAGGTGCTGCATTTGGTCGCCTTACAGCAGGAAATGACAGGATAGACAGGTGCTCAATGACTGGCAGGGGACAGGATGGGCATCAGGGCCTCCAGCTACGCTGCAAAAACTCTTATGATGCTAAAGTGAAAGGAGATCTGACACTGGCAGGGGGGTTCAAACGTCACCAAGGATTTGCAGTGAGAGGCAGGAGGACCAATAACCACAGGCAAGCAGGTTTATAATCAATGGCAAAAAGGGAAGAAACAGAGGATTTTAGCGCAGTGAGGCTGAGTGAACATTTGAGTGATTTATAGTAGGGTGTGGGGGGAGGTGGGATGGGGAGGGAACTGGGCCATGAGCAAAGAGCAGGAATGGGGGACTAACTTGCCAGCAGCTTCAGGGCCTGGCATAGACAAGATGGGTTGATTGATACAGCTTCCAGATCTTTCTATCACAAGACAGGGGGAGTGAAACCCACCTGGCCGTAGTCGATCTCCAGTGGGTAGAACTTTTTGGGGTATTTGGTGAAGTTTTTCGAGTGCCAGGCGTTGCCTGTCTTTTCCTCGTACAGCCCCAGGAAATGATCGACAGCTTCCTCTTTGGAGGACATCTTCTCCAGCTTGTTGCCACCAATGGTGGTCCCCACTCGGCCCCAGGACCTGAAGACCCAGTACCTGCAGGAGCAGAACCGAGCACAATGTCACAGGTCTGGCCCTAACCCGCTCAGATCACCACCTACAGCTCCAAAAACAACACCTCCCCAACCTCCCACAACTGATTCCCTGGCCCCTCCGTCAAAAGCTTTGTCAAAAGCCTTACTGAAGTCCACATAGACTACATCAACCACACAAATCTCATCTACACACCTAGTCACCTCTGGGGTACGGAGTCGTCAGGAGACACAGGGAGGGGTATATAAAAGGGAAAGGGAGTGCTGTAATAACAAGGTGTAGAGCTGGATGAACACAGCAGGCCAAGCAGCATCATAGGAGCAGGAAGGCTGACGTTTCGGGCCCAGACCCTTCATCAGAAATGCTGTAATATTGACCAAGGAGTCACGACAGTAAGAACGGATGATATCCTGGAAGGTTCCTCAAATGACGCCATATGGGTGTAATTTGAAGGCATAAAGCCGGCAATCATTTCGCTGGGAGTGTAGTATTGACCATCGGACAGGCAGGGAGAAACAGAGAAAATTTGAGCTGAGGTTTTAAATGAGTAGTTTGTATCTGTATTTCCTGGAGAGAAGAGGTAGGTGCAGAAATCAGGGGAAAACTGTGATATGCTTGAACAAATTAACCTTGAGCGTTAGGAGGTATTTGTGGTTTTAGCAGGTTTAAAAGTGAATAAATCCCCAGGGGCAGATGAGATGTATCCCAGGCTGCTGTGGGAGGCAA